CACACACACACACACACACACACACACACACACACACACACACACACACACACACGTGTCTATAGAAATTATATGTCCATAGAAATTTGAAGTTATTTTATTATGTTTCATAACCCTATTCTACTGAAAAAAAATCACATCACAAAGTTACATAACGAAATCATGTAATTAAAACAAATAAATCACATAACTGATTGTTCCAAGTTTGATAGTCCACAGGACGTCCTCAAGACGTCTCTTGACTATAACAGAATATTTAGCTGGTGAGATGTTCACAGGACGTTCACTGAACGTCAGCTATAGTAAGTATTCAAAAATATATAAAAAAATTTTTAGCTTGTTTATTATAAATTAAAAAAATGACAATTTCAATAAACGTTTATCGTTGTGAGCTGTATATATTATATATTAAAAATAGTTTATAATTATACATCTCATTTTTTCGATTGTCGTTAATTATTTCATCAAATTCTCTCTTTTACATTCAATCTACATTTCATCAATAATATATAAGATAAAGAGATACTAAAAAAAAAAGATACAAATAAATAATTAAGTTATCCAAAATTGTTTATTGTCAAGAATTATATTGGTATTTAAATATACTTATCTAATTAAACAATCATATTTCATTTGAATAATAATCTCTTCTTCGTTACAGGTTTTGAATGGTTTTTTTGCAATGTTTTGATAATTTCAAGCGGTGATTACAAGCTGATAATTTCACTGCGGTGAAATACGGCGATAATTGCTTTGCAAAATGCGGCAATAGCCGAGAGAAGCATTAATGAATTCGTAACAAAATCATCCATATTATCAACAACAAAGATATCGATCAATTGAGTTAATACCAAAAAGTTCAACAGATACATTGTAGATAAAGTAAATACGCTATACAAACATATGGAGCATTTTGAAGATCATTTGATCGGTCGCCATACATCACCGATAGTAGAATAAAAAGTTGAGAGAAAGTATTTGCATTTCTATGATTGTGTTACAATCGAGAGTATAGCTAGAAAGTTTATTTAAAAATAATTTTTGATAAAAACATATTAAAATAATGAATAATAGTTTATTGCATATAAGCTGTGTGAGAGAATTTACTTCACTTCCTCCTAAATCTCAATTATCTAAATTCTTCTAAAAAATAGAAAAAGAGAAACATAATATTTTATAATTAAATAGAAAAAATTATATACGGAAATATCATAATAAATACAAGCATATAATATGAAAACTTTGAAATTAAGATAAAATTATGAATTTGAATGAACACAAAATATTGTTTAATTTTTGTCAAATCTGCACGTTCTTGTCACTTCTTCTAATAATTAAAAACTTCAAACATATATAGTAATTTAATTATTCCTTATACACACATGCATGAAATTAAATTTGATATTTATCTGTTTCTATACAACTTTAACACATATTATCTGCAACACTCAAAGACTATCATCTCATTATTTCAACTTGCATGTATCATATAAATAACTTCGAGATATTTTTATAAGCTTATTTTCTCTTGCACTATCATTTTGTATACGAATCACACATATGATAGCTTACATAGCTTATAAGACGAAGTGTGTGACTTCAATTCGTACATACAGTCTTTCGTGTTGACGAAGATAATTAATACAGACCGAATATGCGACTAAGGTTCTTGAGATACTAAGAAATAATTGTCAACTTTGTAATTCCATGTGGCTCAGTTGAAGTTAATGACGGTTATTAAGAACTTATAGCGACTATTACTGGCACAGCTGATACTTTCCGTCGATACGAAAATGCTGTAATTATGATATAATTTTACCATTTGATGGAATTGACGAAGATTAATATTCTAAGCTATGCTCTCCCTCAGGGAAATATGGTTTTGAAGTACCTATAGTATTTACTATAAAATTCACATCCTATTCTATTTATAAAATCTATATCGGTAGCATCATTGGTAGTCACATTGCTGAAGGATAAAATATCCACAAAACCTATGTTTGACAGATATTACATATAGTATATATAAAATATTAATTACTGTACATAATATTTTCTATTTCAGTGGATATATTATATATTAATAACATGATAAAGCGACGCAGATTCTATTGTACGTCCCTTCTATCGCACTCATGTTTTTCTCGATATATGAAAATGTCGCAATTATATATCTTGTCATTTGACGGAATTGAGGAAAATTAATTCCAACATGTTGTACCGTTCCCAGGATATAAAGTACACTTTCATGAAAGCGTTTATTCGACTCTCGTAAGTTTTCAATGGATTATAAAATATAGTACACATATATCACGTAATATATGTGACATACACAACTGTTCCGTTACGTTCGTTGGAATAGAATTATCTGATAAGAAATCCGACAATGTACCTATAATATTCTTGAAGATCAAAAAATCACATAATAATAAATTCAATTGAATTTCTTTTTAATATAATTACTTTAGTGACTATAAAAATCCCTGGATAAAAGAAGATTTGGAAGGAATTAAGAGGATTATATATTAATAATAGCAAAGCAAATATTACTTTAAACGGTGACTCATATCGAGTTAGAAAATGCTAAGTTATTAAAAACCAGATGTTCATGGAGGTCACTTGTGTATACCACCAAGCGAATTTATGCCAATGATATCTGCAGTAAGAGAGCTGGAGATCTATTCTGTGAAAAGAATTCGATCTATCAACATTTGTCGTGTTTGTTTACAGACCAGACTGAAAAGTGAATTGAAAAAAGAATTGAAATAGAAATTTCTGTTACAAAGAATAATGCAATGCTAGTGACAATTCATAATCACTAACATGAAAGAAGAATTTATAGGTAATATATTTTGTGTTTTAAGCTTTACACGATTTTCTAAACTTTCAAAATCTATTGTTGAATTTTTCTCGTAATGTGGCGCATTCAAAGAAAATGTTATTGCAAAAAACTGAATCTTTCCTTTTCAAATTGATTCAGTTACACATTGTTTCAATTAATGTATTTCTCCAATTAGTAAGAGTAGTCGACAAACAATCACGATGATAATAATTATATGTAATCCATACAGTACAGAATTTGTAGTAATATCGCTGCAATAACGGTGCAATGTTGCAATGTGCTATAGAGGAATATGCGGTCTACAGATTTAGTTATCATTTTTTACATATAATATATTACATATATTATTGTATCTTTTCCTTATACATTATATTTTTATAAAAATAATGATCTCTTTTTACAATAACTATATCAACAGGCTCGTAAATGGAGAGAACGAAGCAAGATGAATAAATTCAGTAATTAAGTTTAAACGCGTTTCTCTCTATATTATTATATACATCGTACAACAGGATATAACAAAATGGAATTTCAGGAAAAATTCGCTTTTGCTCATGAAAATGCTGCTTATGATACTATTCCTCTAATTATTATTGGTAAAATGGAAAGAAAATATTCTACAGGTCTGTATAAAATTTTATTGCATTATATTCAATTAAATTTTACCTTATTTTAATAAAAGTGATATAGTTATATGTGATTTTAAAACTTATTATAGTAACATAGTTTCTTGATTCGAAAAAAGTGACAATTAAAAACAAATTATTTGTTATACTGTTTCATACACATACACACACACATTTATAAGTATATATAATATATATATACATATGTATATAGTATATGTGCGTAAAAGTAATAACACATCAAGTTCATAAATATTTAATAATATAATATTTACGTAGACAAATAATAAATAGAGAAACACCTATACTTCAAAATATTAAATGTATTAAGTATTATACATTAGACATTATAAGTTGTTATTATTTCAGAGAAGATAGAAAATTTGAAATATTACGTTTCCAATCCATTTTGGATGAAATTCCGTTTATTATTATTTTGGATATTATGGACTGTATTAATAATAACGATAATAATTTCTTTACTCGCATACTTTTGCTTTACACCCCGAATATGTCATAATTCAAATGCACATAAAAATATACATGAATAAAAGTAAGTATTATATAGTATTTCCAAAAAATTAAAATTTATAATATATATATTTTTTCATCATAAAAAATACAATTTCGTAGAATCATTAAATTAATTTTGTCATGCAATTAGTAAACAATTTTTGTCAAAAACCAAATTTTTCTGAAATAATTAATTTAATTAATAAGAATTTAATTTTTTTTTCAACAGAATTCCACCAATTTAGAAAATTTCTTTCAACATTTTTCAATTAGCTTTTTTTGACATAATAAATTTTCAGTTATTGTTGAATTTATTAATAGATATATATTTCGAATGTGTATGTTCCAGTATGTACATCGTCTACAAGATACAATGGAAATGCAATGGCGTATAAGTTAGCTTCGTATTATCATATTCGCTTTTCACGGTAATAATATTAAAATAATACTAAAATAATTAACAATATGGTAAGCAAGAAATGTACGTTCAACTAGAAAATTATTTTAAAAAATTAAATTGTTTTACATATATTGGCGTAATTTTACAGTAAAAATTATTGTATAATTTTGTGTATATATACATATATTGACTTTTTATTTACAAATACAATTTATATTTATATGTTACAATTTTAGAAAATTTCGTAAATGATTATTTATATAATCCTTTTTTATTTTATACACACA